CTAACAAGTAAACAGACACTTACTTTTTGCAGCCACATACCTGCAGTGGCTCTGGCCAGAAGCTGGAGGGTGTTAGAGCATGGCCCTCTAGCACATAGCCAGCCTGGGTTGTTTTTTCCTTTTCTGGTCCTGCTGCCCCAGGGGGCTCTGGGATTTCCAGTCCAACATCACAACAGCAGAACACCTGAGATTTGCTTATTACTTCCTCTTCCTGTCTTCAGGCACCTCTGCAATTTGTAGTCCACAGTCGCATCCAGTAGTAAGTTTAGCAGGGCAGGACAGCTCTGTACTCAGGGCAAGGTGGGGTTTACCCCCCTCCCTGGCCCCAGACCCCAGCCGGCGTTTGCTTAGAGGGAGCAGTCCCTGCCTCCCCTATCCTTCCCACCCCCAACCTTTCTCTGCTGGAGCAGACAGCCCAGCCCAGGGATAGAAAGCATGCTGGGATGCTAGGGGACTCTGATTTAACTTAAATCAGGAAGTTTCATAACCTGGTTTCAGCCAGGTTTATCTAAAACCAGCTTCAGTCATTATGAAACTGGTTTATATGTGCTGAACTTCTATTTTGTTACAGGTTTAAACCAGTTTCTGATGACTTAAAGTGGTTTATGTGTAATTCCTGTCCCTAACCCTTAAGATTTGAGCCTCAGGTATTTCCTTTCCTGTCTCTTTAATTAGCACAGTCCTTCTGCCATCCAGTTAGATGCACCTATTTCCACTGTTTCCTTGTAGAAGAATTCTGAATTAAAGTTGTAAATCAAGTTCTTTTAACCAACAGTAGTGCATTCTCTCTCTCCCTGGTATTTCCCAATTAAATAATTTTCGTAGTCTACTTTGTACATCCTCATCCGTAATCTGCATCACTTCATTTTTTATGTACATTTTGCCAGGAGGTCATATGGTGCCTTCCCTTCCTAGAGTTCTTTCCAAAAATCAATCATACTTTGTTCATTTGTTATTGTGTTCTTCTGCTCCAACTATCTGAAACATTTAATCTGGTCAGTCTTACACAATTTGTTTTGTTTCTGGTTATATTTTTATTTCTCTATATATTTCTTTAGTTTTGCCAACTGTACCACAGCTTGTGTTTCAACTCTTCAGGTCCTGCAATGTTGCGATATGAGATTTGGAATTTTTCCCAGAACTCCATTGTTATTGATCTGCCTTTCAAGTTTCCCTTCTTCATCCCATCCAACTGGCTTACCTTTTGTCTTTGTCTTAGGACTGTTAGACTAACATGGGTCTCCTGGGACTGACTTTCCTGTGGCATAGATTTATTTCCTTCTCTCCCACAGAGTCCCAGTCTTCTGCTACTACCAAGATAGTACTTTGGTCCAGTTTTTGCAAACTTACGATGTCCTTAACTGTTACTGCTTTCAGGTATTTATTAACCTTATCTGCGACTTGCTCAAGCTGCTACATAGCCTTACACTTCAAGGGCATAGACCATGTGCCCTCACTAATTAATCAGCATGTACCAAGAATATATCTCTCATTTGCTTCATTACTTCCATTCTTTTCCTCTGTTTGTTTAGGTTCTTTCTTAAGTCAATAGTGGTTTTTTGGAAAGAAATATTGTCTGCTTATAATGGCAACACTGTGCTCTTGCTAGGTCTTTACAGACATGTCCTCTCCTTTGTCATTCTTTCCAAATTTTCTAATGGTATGGACCTATAAGCCAAAGTAAGTGTGGTTTACAATGCATCAATTGCTCTGTGATAATTACCTGTGTGGATACTCTTATGCTATGGTAAGTGAAATATAAACAGCAACACTTTAGCCTTCAAAGAAAGAAGAGTACATAATTATGGTTTAGTTTCCGTTTATATGGGGTAAGTGTGTGTGCATGGGCAGTGACCATAGTATAGCTGACAGGTGAAAAATCCCACACCTCTTTACCAGATGGTAAATTGTTCATGCCCTTTGAAAACCACACCCATATGTGCTGATCTATATGTGCTGAGCCATGTAAAAATCATGGGCCATATGCTGAATTTAATTTAGCATGCACTGTTATTGTTGTTTCAGGAGACATTCAGCAGGACTTTTTTTTTCCTTCCAGGGAGGAGTGGTGGTGAGTGAAGAGAAGTTGCAATGGCTACTGTACTAGGGAATAGACTATATTACAACTTATGCTGGTGTGGCTGCTAATCGAATATGTATGGACAAGGGGATTTTATTGATCTTTGCCCCTTTTTCTATAGAAGGGCAGTCCATTGATTAGGGAAATAGCCTAGGGTTTGGAGATCTGGATTCATGTACTTGCTGTGCCATAGACTTTCTATATGACTTTAGGCAAATTATTTAGCCCCTTGTGCATCGGCTCTCCACCTAGAAAATAAGGATCACAGTCCTTGGCTACCTAGAAGGGTTTCTGGGAGCCTTTAGACTTCAAAGGCAGTGGACCAGATTCTTAGTTTAAATGGCATTAAAGTTAATGGCTCTAGCTTCACAAGAAAGTGGCTTGAAAATTGTCTTGGGTTTGCTTCTAGGAACATTTATGCACCAATAATCCCAGTGGAACTAATCACTGTTTGTAAAGAAAAGTCTGTGTGAAAGTCTTTTCAGGATTGGGCCATCTATTTTGTTAAATGAAAGTTTCTGGCCAAACAGACTATTGTGATTTTTCTGCTTGATAGATTAATACCTCACAAAAATGTGGAAGGATAAAAGAAAAATGTAGTTTTAAACACAGTCTGTTTGCAGACGTGAAAAAAAACACCAAAATGGCGTTTTACTTTAAGCTTGGTGTGCCCCTGCACCAAGTACAGCGCATGCCCAGAAAAGGTATCACATTAGTTTGACCTGGCTCAGCCAACATCTGTATAGATCAGGCGCATTAGCAGGACATTTTGGTGCTTTTATCTAGTAGCTGACTGAATTAGCTTTAGATTAAAAGTTCCAAAAAGCCCCACTGAAGTGCCTGATCTATACAGACAGTACGGAGCCAGGTAGAACTAACATGCTTCCTCTTCCAATACACTCTGGTTTTCTGGGTTTTTTGGGGGGTGGGCGGGGTTTCATGTCTGCAAGTAGCCCTAAGTATCAGGTAAAATCTAGAGTCAGTAAAAGTCTTAGGCACATATAAGCTCAACTTTGAAAATCTCATGTATGCTTTAATTTAGACATTGGAGTAAAACTTACTGAAAAGTGTCTAAAAAATGTTACCATTCATTTAGTAAAATCAGTTCTTAAAAGGTTTTCTTTGATCTTTTTTTTCACTTCTGGATTTAGCTCAAGGAATATTATATCAAATGATAATGGCTGTACTTCAGAATCTTCACACGTGAATAACTGGTGCAGTGAGTTTTTGTCAGATATGATTTGAAATAGGCAGTATACAGTATATTAAATTTATAATGGAACTGCTGACACAACCTTAACTGTAGCAGTGCAACTGAGCACTGCTGTAATTATGCCATATTATATCATATCATATGGCATAATTTAGTGCTATGTAAATGTATCTTTTTGTCAATGTGTTGCTCATCATTTTACAAATTGCAAATCTGTAATGGAAAGTAATTCATAGCTTGGACATAGTGTTAAAATGATGGAGTGATTTCCTTTTTGCTCAATCATTGATCTTTCAGACTTTTGCATTTGGTGATATTAATCATGTTTATTAGCTGAATGTTATCATAAAGAATGTTGAATGTTTTTATGCTGTTGCTTTCATCTTCAATTAAAACACATTTTCTTGTCTGCTGCCTCTGTCCATTGCATCATAACAGTGTATTACTGATTCTAATTGAAATTCCAGTTAATAAAGTCTAGACAATGTCAATACCACACATACGCATTTAAATGCTATTCTCTAATTAAATTTAAACATTTGGCACCTGGGGATAAGGATAGTACCTAGATTACTCTCTTGGTCTTTTCTGTCCCAGAAATAGTCAGCTTCTTAAAAATACCCATCTTTAGCATTTTGTTTTGTTCACTGGATTCATTTCAGAATATGTACTACCCTGGTCTACCTAACTGTTTAATAGGCATATCTGATTCTACATGTGCCTGCTATAGTTGTGTAGGGATTGCTAAAAGCCAGTATGAAATAAGATCTTTTAAGAACACTGAAGAAGTTAGTATTACACTGCTTGATCTGACATACTTTGTTTTCTGCCTTAGACATTAATTACTATGAACACAAATTTATCTAAATGCTAGACTTAAGTGCCTCAGAATTGACTCTCACCAAGCTCAGCCCTGGACTCTTTTCAGCATGGCCCAAAGTTAGCATTTAAACAAACTCCTTTCTGGTTTTCCATGCACAGGTCTAGGAGTGAAGAGCTACTAAATTCTAATCCTGATACTAAACTGATGCCTTCTGTGGCCCAAAGGAAGTTACTTCAAATCTTTGCATACGTTTTCCCACCCTGGTAGATCAGTACCAGGTGGCACCATCATTTTTTAGTTTTTTTAGCAGTCCAATTTGAAACATAGTACTTCCCTAGCTCTTCTAAAATATATATAATGGTTAATAATTAAGTCTTGTAGTTTTTGATCCAGCATGATAGTTGATATTAGCTGAGCATAACCATTTCATTTCTTCAGGATCGGTCCATACTGGACTAGGGGCAGTGTAGTAAGATTCTGTCATGTTTTTCAGTTAGAACTTGATGTGCTTGCTTGTGACAGTAGCAAATGGGCATGATGACCCAGAAGATCTCTTTCAGTCCTATATCCCTAATTGTGTGCCTTTTCTCCTTGGGTCTTTGCGGCCCTAAACATTTAGCTTTCGCTATTTCCAGAAATTGGTATGGTTTGAGGTGGATTATGATGGAATTTTCTAGTTGTCATTTGTCCTTGTTGCTGTTTACAGAATTACTTTTTTAGGTGCCTTTTTGATGCTACATCCTCAGTCAGGTACAATGTATTCTAAAATAAAATTTGAAATGTAAACAATTTTGGACAATTAAACCAGTTTCAGTAAATCCCGCAACACCTGGTCAAGAAAAAAATGGTATTTACAATCTCTTTGTACACTTTTCTATTTTCAGGTGGGAGTGAGTCTTCCTGGGATAAAGAGAAACTTCAGTCTCCTATTACAACAGGATCACAGCATGGTGTTGGTCATGCCACACTGTCAGGGCAGTCCAGCCTCGGAAGTGCACATCCCCTCAGTCCTCTCCAGCAAAATCACCTACTCACTAACAGTATGTATAATGCCCTTGTAAAGAAAAAAAATAAATACATTTTTAGACACTTTCTTTTGTTCTCATAGTGTTTGGCTATGAAGGATGAACAATCTATAAGCAGTTGCTAAATAATAAATGCAGTGTGGTAACATATAAGACATTAGAAGAATTTGGAAACATGTCATAGATGAACTCTGGCATCTAAGAAAACAATAAGGCACACCCCCCCCCCCCCCAAATGCCACAACTTCATTAAACTGAACTGAACTGAACTGTTAGAGCCAACATGCACCCTTTCCTTAGGAAGCAGGGAGAGAGGAAATCAGCACAAGTCTGTTCTTCCTCTTCTCTTGGGCAAGGAGGAATGGAAATGTTAGGATAGTATATGTGTTCCCACCTTCGTCAATTTAACACTCAAGTTAGCAAAATGAGCATTTGATGGAGACGCTAGGAATCTTTACACATGCTCCATAGGAGTGGGGAGGGGGGCGCTTTAATTAGAACAGCTCTGAGAGCATCTCTAAAAAAAAAGAAAAAAAAAAATGCCCACAGCGTCTCATGTATTCAGCGTCCTTGCTTCAAAATGGTGACAGAGATGCTTTAAAGCTCATTTGACTAGCTTTAGTTACAACACCTCTCCCACCATTTTGAAGTGCAAAGCATGGGGACAGTGAATACATAAGAAGTGGAGGCTGCTGGAGCATGCTAATTAGCATGCCAGAAACCAAGATATTGAGAGCAGTGGCAAAAGGACATCCCAGGACATTTCTACTGGTATATTTCCAGGTTTGGCATATGCATGCCAGAACAAACAGGTAGGCCAACTTAGGAATGCTCCAGCCAGGGGCTGCTGCCCTAGTGTAGTCGTATTGGTGCCTGTACACATGTGGAGATGCTGCTCTGACGCACTGTAATTAGAGCGTGTTGGAGCAGGCTCGATTAATCATGTCTGCTGGAGCATGCTAATTAGCACTTGATTAATTGAGTCTGCTCTGATGCACTCTAATTACAGCATGTCAGGGCATCCCCACACATGTACAGGAACCAGTGTGATTTGCAGTACTGCAGCAGCCCCTGGTTGCAGCATTCCTAAACTTGCCTACCTGTTTGCTCTGGTATGCATATGCCAAACCTAGAAATACACCAGTAGAAATGTCCTGGGATGTCCTTTTGCCACTGCTCTCAATATCTTGGTTTCTGGAATACTTGAGAGAGAGAGCTGTTAGAGACCACTTTGGAACAACCTTATCGATGTATATCAAGATGTGCTGCCTTGGAGTGGGATTGAGAAAGCAGGGTATGCTCAAAGGGGTCTTTGCTGGGATATATTGCCAACCTGGTGAAGATATACCCTGTGAGACGTGTTTAACACTGTTTTGCATTTGTACTGAATTAGAATAGAACTAGTGACTTTATGTGGGTACACCCAACTCTTGGCCTCTCTGTATGTTACATTTATGCCTCAATTAAAGTGTTCATTGCACCCTATGTAAGGTGCCATGAAATGGCAAGCCAGCCATAAAAACATTTCACAAAAAAGTAAAAACGTTTTTGAGGTTGGTTTGCGTAATTGAACATGTGGCATGTGTGGACTGCCCCAGGCCTGGGGCTGACAATCACTGCCCCACAGTCTTGTACTGGCCCCAGGAGGGGCTGAGGCTGTGGCCAAAAATCAGTTGATCATCAGTACTGGCCCTGGAATTGCACAGGGGCAGATTCAAGGCCTCGGGCTGTAGGCACCTGGCTTTCAACTTGCTGGTGCAAAGGAAGCCTGGGATCATGATCTTGGGCTACCCCTGCACTGGAAAGTAGAAAGAACCTGATTGGAATTTGATCCCCAAATTGTACCTCCTACCATGTACATATGGCAGGGCAGGAGGCATGGTTGTTGGGATTGGGGATTAGATCCCATGGTACATTTAAATGAATTTGTGCCAGCAAGCTGTGAATCAGCTAACAGCTTTGATTAATTTTCTGTTTAGACGCACATAATATTTTCTTACTTCATGAACTGGAGTGTTTTCTTTTATTGCTAACTCAAACCTCCCTAAAACAATATAAATCTTGTGTTTTAGATGATCAGTATACAGTATGCAATCTTATTTTCACTACTTTAAAATTAATGAAGGAAATTTAGCCTGAAACTCAGTAGGCACTACTAAAACATTATAAATGTATCCAGTGTCTATGTCTTAAAGCCTTTATTTAGATAAATGTGATGGTGATATAAAAATTATGGATCTTCTCTTCTTCCATGGTCTCTCAAATCTCTTGGATTAAGTAGTGAAGACTGGCACAAATTCTCTGCTGGCCTAACTCTATTGAGTTCTGTGGGATTATTACAGCAGAGAATGTGGGTGGAAATATTTTATAGAGTATTATATTACTGCCCAGATAACAATATCAAACAAATGTAAGTTAAAGGAATAGAAGATTGTGGATTTTGGAAAATTGTGGGAAGAAGTGGGTAAAGGAATGGGAACAGGTTTGTGATTTTAAAGAAATTTGATTTGCTCATTATTATTTCTTTATCAGAGATTGATAAGTTGGTTTATAGATATTACTTTTCAAAAACACATGAAAGATGTAGTTTTTTTCAAAAAAAAATTTAGGAAGAAATATCATTATGGACGTAGAGCCACAATTTTCAGTAGCGAACCCAAGAGTGAATATTCCCTATAATATGTGCTTGGCCCCATTCACAAAAAAGTTAAAATCTCTGGGTAATTCTGCCATCTGATTAAGTAGACCACACATTGCTTAACTTGTATATCATAAAAAAAATCTTTAATTTTATGTTCTGTATCTTGGGAATAGGCAGACTTACATAATTGAGAATCTGCACATGTTATACATATGGGGACATTCTATCCTTCTCTGTTTAGGTAATCCTTCAAGATACTTTTCAGTATCTTTTATGCTAGGCAGTTGTCTATAGGCTGTTACAGGGTTTACTGAATATCAAATGTTATGTCTCATGACTTGCAAGTGTAAGATGTATTTCCTTCATAGTCCTCTGTAATGCTTGATCGATTGTGTCTTAAAACTGGGGATGTGCTGTTAAATTCTGTTTGCAGTTTGCATTTAGTTTGCATGTCAATTGGACTTTAAGTAGATATACAATACAACTCAATGTGGACAGATGGTGTTTGGGAGTTTTTGAACTCTGTAGAGTGCAAGGAGAGATTGCTGGGTTGCTATGGGAGAGATACAGTAGAACAACGGCTTACTGTATAGGGATATATCTAAATCATAGGGGTACTTACCAATTTTCATGGATTTATCACGACATAAAATTCTAGTTCCCCAATCATTTTGCTGCAGCCCTGCCCCTCAACACCAATTGCTGGAGAGGCCTGGGAGGAGGAGGGACAAAGGGGTGGCCACCATCTTAATTGCTGGCTGACACTTTGCAGCCCTGCCATTCAGTGCTGATTGTTGGAGGGGCCTCAGGAGGTATGAGGGGGCAGCTGCCGTCTTGATTACTGGCTGCCCTTCATGTAGCACCAGCCCTTGGCATTGATTGGCAGAGAGATCTCAGGTGTAGGGTTGAGGAGGTAATCGCCATCTTTTCTGATGCCCTTCCTGTCCCCCTGCCAGCTGGTGCTTTCCCCTCCTGACAGTGAGGACCACTGACATTTTATTTTTATTAAGTTTTTGTTGTTGTTATTGATTTAGCAGACAGTTCTGCGAAATCAGCAAATTAAGTAGGTTCCTACTTACGTATGTAAGTGCTGAAAGGAATTTTCAGGATAGTTTGAAGTTAAGGGAGATGCCCATGGGCTCTATCTTGTTACCATTCCTGATTAATATTGACAGGAACCATTTTATAAATAAAGGATTCTTGAAGCAAATACACCTTCATTATATATGGGCGTTATAATTATGACTGGCTATATAATCATGTCTTTTTCGTGTTTTTGCTTAAGGTTTGTGATGAGACTGCCTGCTCTGCCTAAATTCCCTTTGCAGGAAGTTACGCATAGTAAAAAGTCTTATTAGTGGCAGAAACCATCCTAGTTTTCTTGAGACAGTCAGTGTGGATGTCCAAAAGTAGATGGGAACAGGTAATCCTTCCTGAGTTAAGGCTTTACTAAAGGCTAGAGCACTTAAAATTTCCTTAGTTGTGTAGCTTGTTTGTGCTACCTAAGTGTGAGAAATTTTCCTGAAAACTAGAGGTGTCTTATAGACATGCTCTGGGAAGCTGGGGTGGGGGGGACACCTTAATTAAAGCAGCTCCAAAAATCTGCTCTAATTAAAGTGCCCAGAGTGTCACATGTGTTAGCATCCTTGTCCCTGCTCTGAAAAATGGCAGTGGGGGTGTTTTAACTAAAGCTCATTGAATGAATTTTGGTTAAAGCACCCCTCCCACCATTTTTCAGTGCAGGGATGCTGATACACATGAAGCTGCAGTCTGCTAGAGCACAGTAATTACCACACTACAGCAAACTTGATTAATCGAGTCTGCTCCAACGCATTGTAATTACAATGCATTGGAACAGCCTCTGCATGTGTGTAGGCACCCTAGGTGATCAGTTGTTAATGTGATTCAGCACAGAAAACTTTGGACCACTGGCAATTTAAAGAGTTTTAGTATGGGTTTATAAATGTCATGTACCAATTTTTCTCATATAAGATGCACCTTGTTTTTGGATGGCAAAATGTAGAAAAAAGATGTTGCCAGTGTCAGGACTGGCAACAGGAACTTCCTAGTGTGGCAGGCTGTCTCTTGGGATGCCACACTTTCTGAACACTCTCTGTTTCCAGGAGGAATTACTCTGTCACACAAGGCTAGGTCCCATGCCCTTACAAAGGCAGTACCAAGATTGTTAGTACCATTCTGTAAGTACTTCTTTATATAAGTTCCTGTAAATAACATTTTGTTTCCACATCACATGCCTCATTCAGATACTACCAAGAGCTCATTTGCTGCTTCAGTACAAGATACAGTGCTCAGCCAAAAGCTACAGCAATGAGAAAGTTAGCACAAGACTCCATCCCTTCATCTTTTGAGCCTG